CCTCACCACACCCACACCGCCTCACCACACCCTACACCGCCTCACCACACCCTCCACCGCCTCACCACACCCTACACCGCCTCACCACACCCTACACCGCCTCACCACACCCTCACCACACACCGCCTCACCACACCCTACACCGCCTCACCACACCCTACACCGCCTCACCACACCCTACACCGCCTCACCCACACCGCCTCACCACACCCTCCACCGCCTCACCACACCCTACACCGCCTCACCACACCCTCCACCGCCTCACCACACCCTACACCGCCTCACCACACCCTACACCGCCTCACCACACCCCACCGCCTCACCACCCTCCACCGCCTCACCACACCCTACACCGCCTCACCACACCCTACACCGCCTCACCACACCCTACACCGCCTCACCACACCCTACACCGCCTCACCACACCCTACACCGCCTCACCACACCCTACACCGCCTCACCACACCCTCCACCGCCTCACCACACCCTACACCGCCTCACCACACCCTACACCGCCTCACCACACCCTACACCGCCTCACCACACCCTACACCGCCACACCACACCGCCTCACCACACCCACACCGCCTCACCACCCACACCCTACACCGCCTCACCACACCCTACACCGCCTCACCACACCCTACACCGCCTCACCACACCCTACACCGCCTCACCACACCCTACACCGCCTCACCACACACCCTACACCGCCTCACCACACCCTACACCGCCTCACCACACCCACACCGCCTCACCACACCCTACACCGCCTCACCACACCCTACACCGCCTCACCACACCCTACACCGCCTCACCACACCCTACACCGCCTCACCACACCCTCCACCGCCTCACCACACCCTACACCGCCTCACCACACCCTACACCGCCTCACCACACCCTACACACCGCCTCACCACACCCTACACCGCCTCACCACACCCTACACCGCCTCACCACACCCTACACCGCCTCACCACACCCTACACCGCCTCACCACACCCTACACCGCCTCACCACACCCTACACCGCCTCACCACACCCTACACCGCCTCACCACACCCTCACCACACCCTACACCGCCTCACCACACCCTACACCGCCTCACCACACCCTACACCGCCTCACCACACCCTACACCGCCTCACCACACCCTACACCGCCTCACCACACCCTACACCGCCTCACCACACCCTACACCGCCTCACCACACCCTACACCGCCTCACCACACCCTACACCGCCTCACCACACCCTACACCGCCTCACCACACCCTACACCGCCTCACCACACCCTACACCGCCTCACCACACCCTACACCGCCTCACCACACCCTACACCGCCTCACCACACCCTACACCGCCTCACCACACCCTACACCGCCTCACCACACCCTACACCGCCTCACCACACCCTACACCGCCTCACCACACCCTACACCGCCTCACCACACCCTACACCGCCTCACCACACCCTACACCGCCTCACCACACCCTACACCGCCTCACCACACCCTACACCGCCTCACCACACCCTACACCGCCTCACCCTACACCGCCTACACCGCCTCACCACACCCTACACCGCCTCACCACACCCTACACCGCCTCACCACACCCTACACCGCCTCACCACACCCTACACCGCCTCACCACACCCTACACCGCCTCACCACACCCTACACCGCCTCACCACACCCTACACCGCCTCACCACACCCTACACCGCCTCACCACACCCTCCACCGCCTCACCACACCCTACACCGCCTCACCACACCCTACACCGCCTCACCACACCCTACACCGCCTCACCACACCCTACACCGCCTCACCACACCCTACACCGCCTCACCACACCCTACACCGCCTCACCACACCACACCCCTCACCACACCCTCCACCGCCTCACCACACCCTACACCGCCTCACCACACCCTACACCGCCTCACCACACCCTACACCGCCTCACCACACCCTACACCGCCTCACCACACCCTACACCGCCTCACCACACCCTACACCGCCTCACCACACCCTACACCGCCTCACCACACCCTACACCGCCTCACCACACCCTACACCGCCTCACCACACCCTACACCGCCTCACCACACCCTACACCGCCTCACCACACCCTACACCGCCTCACCACACCCTACACCGCCTCACCACACCCTACACCGCCTCACCACACCCTACACCGCCTCACCACACCCTACACCGCCTCACCACACCCTACACCGCCTCACCACACCCTACACCGCCTCCACACACCCTACACCGCCTCACCACACCCTACACCGCCTCACCACACCCTCACCACACCCACACCGCCTCACCACACCCTACACCGCCTCACCACACCCTACACCGCCTCACCACACCCTACACCGCCTCACCACACCCTACACCGCCTCACCACACCCTACACCGCCTCACCACACCCTACACCGCCTCACCACACCCTACACCGCCTCACCACACCCTACACCGCCTCACCACACCCTACACCGCCTCACCACACCCTACACCGCCTCACCACACCCCTCACCACACCCCGCCTCACCACACCCTACACCGCCTCACCACACCCTACACCGCCTCACCACACCCTACACCGCCTCACCACACCCTACACCGCCTCACCACACCCTACACCGCCTCACCACACCCTACACCGCCTCACCACACCCTACACCGCCTCACCACACCCTACACCGCCTCACCACACCCTACACCGCCTCACCACACCCTACACCGCCTCACCACACCCTACACCGCCTCACCACACCCTACACCGCCTCACCACACCCTACACCGCCTCACCACACCCTACACCGCCTCACCACACCCTACACCGCCTCACCACACCCTACACCGCCTCACCACACCCTACACCGCCTCACCACACCCTACACCGCCTCACCACACCCTACACCGCCTCACCACACCCTACACCGCCTCACCACACCCTACACCGCCTCACCACACCCTACACCGCCTCACCACACCCTACACCGCCGCCTCACCTACACCCTACACCGCCTCACCACACCCTACCGCCACCGCCTCACCACACCCTACACCGCCTCACCACACCCTACACCGCCTCACCACACCCTACACCAGCATCACTGGTAATTGTTTTGTTTACAACACTCGGTGTCTAATGGTCATGTTCCACACCCTGTGTGTTGAGTGACGGCACTCCACCCTTGTTGTGTTGAGTGGCGGCACTCCACCCTTGTTGTGTTGAGTGACGGCACTCCACCCTGTGTGTTGAGTGACGGCACTCCACCCTGTGTGTTGAGTGACGGCACTCCACCCTGTGTGTTGAGTGACGGCACTCCACCCTGTGTGTTGAGTGACGGCACTCCACCCTTGTTGTGTTGAGTGGCGGCACTCCACCCTGTGTGTTGAGTGGCGGCACTCCACCCTGTGTGTTGAGTGACGGCACTCCACCCTTGTTGTGTTGAGTGGCGGCACTCCACCCTTGTTGTGTTGAGTGGCGGCACTCCACCCTGTGTGTTGAGTGACGGCACTCCACCCTGTGTGTTGAGTGACGGCACTCCACCCTTGTTGTGTTGAGTGGCGGCACTCCACCCTGTGTGTTGAGTGGCGGCACTCCACCCTGTGTGTTGAGTGACGGCACTCCACCCTGTGTGTTGAGTGACGGCACTCCACCCTGTGTGTTGAGTGACGGCACTCCACCCTTGTTGTGTTGAGTGGCGGCACTCCACCCTGTGTGTTGAGTGACGGCACTCCACCCTTGTTGTGTTGAGTGGCGGCACTCCACCCTGTGTGTTGAATGACGGCACTCCACCCTTGTTGTGTTGAGTGGCGGCACTCCACCCTTGTTGTGTTGAGTGACGGCACTCCACCCTTGTTGTGTTGAGTGACGGCACTCCACCCTTGTTGTGTTGAGTGACGGCACTCCACCCTGTGTGTTGAGTGACGGCACTCCACCCTTGTTGTGTTGAGTGGCGGCACTCCACCCTTGTTGTGTTGAGTGACGGCACTCCACCCTTGTTGTGTTGAGTGACGGCACTCCACCCTTGTTGTGTTGAGTGACGGCACTCCACCCTGTGTGTTGAGTGGCGGCACTCCACCCTGTGTGTTGAGTGACGGCACTCCACCCTTGTTGTGTTGAGTGACGGCACTCCGCCCTTGTTGTGTTGAGTGACGGCACTCCACCCTTGTTGTGTTGAGTGGCGGCACTCCACCCTTGTTGTGTTGAGTGACGGCACTCCACCCTTGTTGTGTTGCGTGACGGCACTCCACCCTTGTTGTGTTGAGTGACGGCACTCTACCCTTGTTGTGTTGAGTGACGGCACTCCACCCTTGTTGTGTTGAGTGGCGGCACTCCACCCTTGTTGTGTTGAGTGACGGCACTCCACCCTTGTTGTGTTGAGTGACTGCACTCCACCCTTGTTGTGTTGAGTGACGGCACTCCACCCTTGTTGTGTTGAGTGACGGCACTCCACCCTTGTTGTGTTGAGTGACGGCACTCCACCCTTGTTGTGTTGAGTGGCAGCACTCCACCCTTGTTGTGTTGAGTGACGGCACTCCACCCTTGTTGTGTTGAGTGACGGCACTCCACCCTTGTTGTGTTGAGTGGCAGCACTCCACCCTTGTTGTGTTGAGTGACGGCACTCCACCCTTGTTGTGTTGAGTGACGGCACTCCACCCTTGTTGTGTTGAGTGGCAGCACTCCACCCTGTGTGTTGAGTGGCGGCACTCCACCCTTGTTGTGTTGAGTGACTGCACTCCACCCTTGGAGAGTGTGTTGTGTTGCAGAGTGCTCCTGGCAGTATGGGTTCGAGTTATTTCTGGGGTGTGAGTTTTCAGTTTATATATATATATGAGTATATATATATATATATATATATATATATATATATATATATATATACCTCCAAACAATATTGGTGAACTATTCTAGGTTAATGACCACAATAAAAGTTAAGTGTTCCCTTCAAGCGTCAGTTTTTCCTCAGAATTCGAAATAATCGCTCAGTGATAGGAGCCCTCAAGTGTGACCTCCATGAGCCGCTACCCCTCAAGTGTGACCTCCCTGGGCCGCTACTCCTCAAGTGTGACCTTCCTGTCCCGCTGCCCCTCAAGTGTGACCTCCTTGGGACGCTGCCCCTCAAGTGTGACCTCCATAGGTTGCTGCCCCTCAAGTGTGACCTCCCTGGCCCGCTGCCCCTCAAGTGTGACCTTCCTGGGTTGCTACCCCTCAAGTGCGACCTTCCTGGGTCACTACCCCTCAAGTGTGACCTTCCTGACTGCTACCCCTCATGTGTGACCTCCATGGGTCGCTTCCCCTCAAGTGTGACCTTCCTGGGCCGCTGCCCCTCAAGTGTGACCTTCCTAGCCTGCTGCCCCTCTCGGTCAAGGTCCCAATAATATAGAGATCATTTAGAGCTCTGAGGAGGTAACATTATAACTCCCCCCCACCCCCCACACCCCATCCCCCCCCCCCTCCCCCTCCCCCCCCCCCCCCCCTTGAGCTCTATGGCAGAGTACGACATTAATAATAATGTTCTCTAAGGTTGTATAACACTAATAATTAGACTCTTGTTCCCTCAATGTTCCGTTGTTAATACGGCGGAGACGAGTGATGCAAAGTTGTTACTACACGTAGAGTCGGGCGGTGGACTACACGTAGAGTCGGGCGGTGGACAACACGTAGAGTCGGGCGGCGGACAACACGTAGAGTCGGGCGGCGGACTACACGTAGAGTCGGGCGGCGGACAACACGTAGAGTCAGGCGGCGGACTACACGTAGAGTCAGGCGGTGGACAACACGTAGAGTCAGGCGGCGGACTACACGTAGAGTCGGGCGGCGGACAACCCGTAGAGTCAGGCGGCGGACTACACGTAGAGTCAGGCGGTGGACTACACGTAGAGTCGGGCGGCGGACTACACGTAGAGTCGTTCGGTGGACAACACGTAGAGTCGGGCGGTGGACAACACGTAGAGTCGGGCGGTGGACTACACGTAGAGTCGGGCGGCGGACTACACGTAGAGTCGGGCGGTGGACTACACGTAGAGTCGGGCGGTGGACTACACGTAGAGTCGGGCGGCGGACTACACGTAGAGTCAGGCGGTGGACTACACGTAGAGTCAGGCGGCGGACTACACGTAGAGTCAGGCGGCGGACTACACGTAGAGTCAGGCGGTGGACAACACGTAGAGTCGGGCGGTGGACAACACGTAGAGTCGGGCGGTGGACAACACGTAGAGTCGGCGGACTACACGTAGAGTCAGGCGGTGGACTACACGTAGAGTCGGGCGGTGGACTACACGTAGAGTCAGGCGGCGGACTACACGTAGAGTCAGGCGGTGGACTACACGTAGAGTCGGGCGGTGAACAACATGTAGAGTCGGGCGGCGGACAACCCGTAGAGTCAGGCGGCGGACTACACGTAGAGTCGGGCGGCGGACTACACGTAGAGTCAGGCGGCGGACTACACGTAGAGTCGGGCGGTGGACAACACGTAGAGTCGGGCGGTGGACAACACGTAGAGTCGGGCGGCGGACTACACGTAGAGTCAGGCGGTGGACTACACGTAGAGTCGGGCGGTGGACTACACGTAGAGTCAGGCGGTGGACAACACGTAGAGTCAGGCGGTGGACAACACGTAGAGTCGGGCGGTGGACTACACGTAGAGTCAGGCGGTGGACAACACGTAGAGTCAGGCGGTGGACAACACGTAGAGTCGGGCGGTGGACTACACGTAGAGTCGGGCGGTGGACTACATGTAGAGTCGGGCGGTGGACTACACGTAGAGTCAGGCGGCGGACTACACGTAGAGTCAGGCGGCGGACTACACGTAGAGTCAGGCGGTGGACAACACGTAGAGTCGGGCGGCGAACTACATGTAGAGTCGGGCGGTGGACAACACGTAGAGTCAGGCGGTGGACAACACGTAGAGTCAGGCGGTGGACAACACGTAGAGTCAGGCGGTGGACAACACGTAGAGTCAGGCGGTGGACAACACGTAGAGTCGGGCGGTGGACAACACGTAGAGTCGGGCGGTGGACAACACGTAGAGTCAGGCGGTGGACAACACGTAGAGTCAGGCGGTGGACAACACGTAGAGTCAGGCGGTGGACAACACGTAGAGTCAGGCGGTGGACAACACGTAGAGTCGGGCGTTAAGGTTCTGGTGAGTCAGTGACGAGTGTGTTAACACTGGGAGCGTCCTCTGGTGCCCGCGGCCAGTGAGGCCCAGAGCACAGAGCCTCTCACGCCCAGAGCACAGAGCCTCTCACGCCCAGAGCACAGAGCCTCTCACGCCCAGAGCACAGAGCCTCTCACGCCCAGAGCACAGAGCCTCTCACGCCCAGAGCACAGAGCCTCTCACGCCCAGAGCACAGAGCCTCTCACGCCCAGAGCACAGAGCCTCTTACGCCCAGAGCACAGAGCCTCTCACGCCCAGAGCCTCTCACGCCCAGAGCACAGAGCCTCTCACGCCCAGAGCACAGAGCCTCTCACGCCCAGAGCACAGAGCCTCTCATGCCCAGAGCATGAGAGGCTCTGTGCATGTTTTACTGCTAGGTAATTTTACTGCTAGGTAACAGGGGCATAGGGTGAAAGAAACTCTGCCCATTGTTTCTCGCCGGCGCCCGGGATTGAACCCGGGACCACAAGATCACAAGTCCAGCGTGCTGTCCGCTCGGCCGACCGGCTCCCAAGCTTGAAACTTGTAGTAAATATGTCTGTTATGATATTAGAATTAGTTCTATAATAGCAAGATATTATACCAGTAGTTATTAAGTAAATAAACATTGGTGAACATGAAATATGAGAGAAGGTGGCTGGTGGGAGCATTTACTATCACCAATGCCCCACTGCACTCATGATGTTAGGGTGCAAGCTTCAAAAACTTCTCTCATTGAATACTTAAACCTATAATTATGACTGTATGGACTATTATGACCTGTCAAAAAAGAGAGGGGAAAGTAGGAGTATAAGACCTCTTCCTGTTACACAATTTGGTTGTTTAACAATAAGTAATTTATTTAATTAGTTATTTATTTATATATATACAAGAAGGTACATTGGGTTTGTGAGGATACATAACATAGGGTTTACATTCTTGTAAAGCCACTAGTACGCGCAGCGTTTCGGGCAGGTCCTATATCTTACAGATAATTTTAAGTACGTAAATTCTAGCAAAATTTATAAAATGATAACATTGGTACATTGCAAGAAAAAAAATGAGATTAGAGATTAGTAGGTATATTAGAGCACATTAGTAGCTGATTCATTGTATTGGCAGCTTGATTGGTAATTTAACAAAGATTAATATGCACAATACAGCATTTTGATAGCACATAAGAAGACAGCAATGATCAGAATGGTAAAGTTGTTTGGATTAGGTACATAAAGAGTTGGGGGATTGGGTAGCACTAGATACAGTGCAATTTTAAAGCACAAGGTAGGAAACTATGAAGATGAAATTAGGCACTTTGTGATTTTGTTTTTCAATGAGGCAAATATAGAATAAATATAGGATGGCAAATATAGGAATAAAAATGAGGCAAATATAGCATTTTGAATAAAGCACAAGGTAGGAAACTATGAAGATAAAATTAGGTACTTTTTGGTTTTTTGAATGAGGCAAATGTTGGACAACTTTTCAACTCATGTGAGAGTGAGTTCAACAGACTGGGTCCCTATTGCTATATGGATAGTCATAGTGCTGCTACCCTATTCTATATGGAAGATTACACAGTGTAGATAAAAAAACTAGCTATAAGTTCATCTAATACTCCCATCTCACAGGATGGTTAGTCATACATGGAATCAAGGGAGAAAATACCTGCCTCAATACAAAAAACAAATCAACTCTGACTAAACAACACTTCACGATTTTCACAAGAGGTAAGCACTGAATCATGGAAACATTATATTATAATTACTCTTACCAGTTTCTACAAGACTCCTCTCAAACATGGTATTTTTTAAGATGTTTAGGTATACACAACACTGTGCTGCTTCCCTATTCTGTATGAAGGACCACACAGTGTAGATCAAAAACCAGCTACAAGCTCATCCAACATCCTCACCTCACAGGATGGCCAGTCATATATGTAATCAGGAGAGAACAAAATACTTAATGCTGATCTATTAACCTCCACTGGCAAAATCTGGGTGCAGCACAAGAATATCTTCCAATATTCCAGTATGAAGTAATTACAGAGCTCAAAGTATTCCATTTGGTATGAAGTCACTGATAACAGGGCAATCACAGATATAGTGATGGAGAGTATGTTCTCTCAAGTAGGACTGAAAACAGATTTTTTTTTTCATCAAGAGGGTTATAAACCCATGGAACCGCCTACCCGCTGAAGCCGTAAATGCCAAATTCCAGCTAAAAATATCATTAAGACAATTGGCGGGGCCTTTAACAAGCCGCCGGCTTTCTGTCCTCGTCGGGGTCACTAGATAGTTAGTGGCTCTTGGGTTGTAGTTGTTGTCATAGATTCAGCTACTCGGAACAAGTTCCAAGTTGCACGGGCTATGGTGAGCCCGTAACTTACCTGGCACAGAAGCGGGGAAAGTAGCACGGGCTATAGTGATCCCTCAGTGGACTTACCTGCCACAGGAGCGGAGGCCCTTGGGCAAATTCAGTAAATATATACAATAATTGTCAGCGCATCTTCCGAGCAACAAGGACAGCTACACAGTATCTCTAAGAATCACGTAGGTAAACAACAAATGTAACATATTTGTTTACTACAATGTCGGTGCTGGCTGTAGAAGTTGAAAAAACATTGTTTTACTTCGAAATATACTAATTTTATAAGAAAATTCGACGTAAATAGGGCGCAGATGAGCTACGATAAGGCAGCGTCGTGATTGGCTAAATCTTCAAGATGAAGAATGTTGCCTGCTCTCTGATTGGCCAAACGAAACACACTAGTGACCTCTGTCGGTATGCAGGTGAACCAGACCCAAAACCCAAATATCTTCGTAAGTTTACCTTCCTGAATCGGACGTAAGCATCTTCTTACGGCATACTTAACAACCTTCGTAGCAAACCTACTTACGAGGAAATACATGGGGCTTCGTGAATCTTGTCTAGAGCCTCTGACGGCCAGAGCCTCTGACGCCCAGAGCCTCTGACGGCCAGAGCCTCTGACGCCCAGAGCCTCTGACGCCCAGAGCCTCTGACGCCCAGAGCCTCTGACGGCCAGAGCCTCTGACGCCCAGAGCCTCTGACGCCCAGAGCCTCTGACGCCCAGAGCCTCTGACGGCCAGAGCCTCTGACGCCCAGAGCCTCTGACGGCCAGAGCCTCTGACGCCCAGAGCCTCTGACGCCCAGAGCCTCTGACGCCCAGAGCCTCTGACGCCCAGAGCCTCTGACGAGTGACTCATAAAGTCATTGTCAACTCTCACAAGGAGCATAGTTACAACATTCTTTCACAATCATTAACAAGAACAAACTACACGTTCAACTCCACTAAAGGAGCTCCACAACGCTACACCAACAGTCTCTGATAATTTGTATACTCCAAGTTATGACGGACCTCGGCGCCATCTATGATCCAGGCTCCGAGTTAAATAGTTGACCTTCCCATTAATATTAGTTTCCCGTCTTCTAGTCTACTGTGTTGGGCGGTGATGAGATGCGGGTGACGGTGACACACAGCAGTGAAGCAGTTCACAGGTCGACCTTGGGACGTGCTGCCAGGGGGCTGGTGGAGCACTGAGGACTTCACTGTTGGAGTGTGCTGCCAGGGGGCTGGTGGAGCACTGAGGACTTCACTGTTGGAGTGTGCTGCCAGGGGGCTGGTGGAGCACTGAGGACTTCACTGTGGGAGTGTGCTGCAAGGGGGCTGGTGGAGCGCTGAGGTCTTCACTGTTGGAGCGTGCTGCCAGGGGGCTGGTGGAGTGTGCTGCCAGGGGGCTGGTGGAGCGCTGAGGTCTTCACTGTTGGAGTGTGCTGCCAGAGGACTGGTGGAATGTGCTGCCAGGGGGCTGGTGGAGCACTGAGGACTTCACTGTTGGAGTGTGCTGCCAGGGGGCTGGTGGAGCACTGAGGACTTCACTGTTGGAGTGTGCTGCCAGGGGGCTGGTGGAGCACTGAGGTCTTCACTGTTGAAGTGTGCTGCCAGGGGGCTGGTGGAGTGTGCTGCCAGGGGGCTGGTGGAGCACTGAGTGACCTCACTGTTGGAGTGTGCTGCCAGGGGGCTGGTGGAGCACTGAGGTCTTCACTGTTGGAGTGTGCTGCCAGGGGGCTGGTGGAATGTGCTGCCAGGGGGCTGGTGGAGCACTGAGTGACCTCACTGTTGTAGTGTGCTGCCAGGGGGCTGGTGGAGCGCCGAGGACTTCACTGTTGGAGTGTGCTGCCAGGGGGCTGGTGGAGTGTGCTGCCAGGGGGCTGGTGGAGTGTGCTGCCAGGGGGCTGGTGGAGTGTGCTGTCAGGGGGCTGGTGGAGTGTGCTGCCAGGGGGCTGGTGGAGTGTGCTGCCAGGGGGCTGGTGGAGTGTGCTGCCAGGGGGCTGGTGGAGTGTGCTGCCAGGGGGCTGGTGGAGTGTGCTGCCAGGGGGCTGGGGGAGTGTGCTGCCAGGGGGCTGGTGGAGTGTGCTGCCAGGGGGCTGGTGGAGTGTGCTGCCAGGGGGCTGGTGGAGTGTGCTGCCAGGGGGCTGGTGGAGCGCCGAGTGACCTCATGAGAGGTGAGCTAACCAGAGGGTCAGTAGAGCCCTGGAAGACTTCACCATTTTTGCAGACATTTGAAGACTTGACCATTACTGGCTAGCGTGAGGAGCAAGTGTTGCGCTGAAGACCTCGTCAGAGGAGTGTAGTGTCCGTCATGTGTGCAGCCAGCGAGCGTGAGGGCTGTGGATGCTCTAGATGACCTCTAGTAGTGTAGTAGTAGTGGTGGGAGATAACAAGAACGGCTATGTGTAAGTCCTATTTTCTTTCTTGCCTTGAACATTACACAACATTTCCACCAAGGTTGGGGATCTCTGACCTTGAGAAGGATCGGACAGTTTAAAGGAATTTGGTTAAGGAAGGCTTCCTAACACACACTTGTTTTAAACTTTTCTCTTAGTTTGGATAATGTTGTACAGGCGGACCACTAGACTGAGAGCGTGTACAGGGGGACCAGTGGACTGAGAGCGTGTACAGTGTCACCCTGGGTGTGTTACCCTGGGTGTGTGTTACCCTGGGTGTGTGTCACCCTGGGTGTGTGTCACCCTGGGTGTGTTACCCTGGGTGTGTGTCCCCCCTGGGTGTGTTACCCTGGGTGTGTGTCACCCTGGGTGTGTGTTACCCTGGGTGTGTGTCACCCTGGGTGTGTGTTACCCTGGGTGTGTGTCACCCTGGGTGTGTGTCACCCTGGGTGCGTTACCCTGGGTGTGTGTCACCCTGGGTGCGTTACCCTTGGTGTGTGTTACCCTGGGTGTGTGTTACCCTGGGTGTGTGTCACCCTGGGTGTGTGTTACCCTGGGTGTGTTACCCTGGGTGTGTGTCACCCTGGGTGTGTTACCCTGGGTGTGTGTCACCCTGGGTGTGTTA